TCAGAAGTGATGGCCACCGCAGGGATGCTGCCAGTCAAAGGTTGGAGAGCTCCATTTCACACCGCCAGGGCCGAATGCTTGGGCCTTTGGATGCTCCACTCCCAGTGCAGAGCTGTGCATGCAGAATGCATTCAGCAGACAGCAGCTTAGAAAGTGAACTATGAAATTGCTTTGTAAATATATGCCTATTTGATAAATGGCATTCTTATTATCTAAATCAAATCTAAAGTCTCCGATTTGAAGGTGATAATTCCAGCTAAATGACTATGCTTCATTGGGTAGAATGTGATAAACTGATTTTCATGGCTGCCTGCTTTCTTTTTGTTGTATTCCATTTTCTGGGTTTTGTCTCAAAGCTTGTTATACTGAGCCTTACTGCATCCTGCTGTCCACTTCACTCAGTGGCTCTTTTCCCTGGCTCCAGTGCTCTAGGAATCACAGCTCACAAGAACCGGGTCTGAGCAGGATGAGTGTATGGGTTCTTGTCACATTTAAGTAGAACTTATTGGATATGGGTTTGAAATGGTTATTAGAACTTCAGAGAAAGCAATTAACACTACCTTATTTCTAAAAATTAATTATGTTTTCCCGTAAATCTGAAGGTCATTTAATTGAGTCAGATATTTAGAATATAGACTTATTTCCAAAAATTTTTTTCCTATTAGTTGTAGCTCTCTGAAAGATCCGAGATTGAGTAAAACAAAATAGGCCTTTTTTTTGATGAGGCCTAGATTGTTTGTAAGAACTCGTATCTTTAAGACTTTATGGCTCTTTAATATCCAGTTTTGATTTATAGCTCCCAAAATTAGCCAATGCATTTTCTATTTGTAGCTGCCCCTACCCATGTCTTTTGGTATCAAACTTTGCTTTGCTGGCTTAATCCAAGCAGAAGGTCCAGAGAAGTTGTTTCCTGTGTCCTACCAACTTGCTTTGTTTTGTTTATTTATTTATTTTGAGCTACGGTCTCAAGTAGTTCAGGCTGACCTCAAACCTGATGTGCATGAACCTTGAACTCTTGATCTTTTTGCCTCTACTTCCCAAGTCCTGGGATGACAGACATTCTGCTAATATGCCTAGTTTATGCAGTGTTAGGAAGGAACCCCAGGCTTTGTGCATGCTAGGCGAGCACTCTGCCAACTGAGCTGCATGTTCAGCCTTGCTGAATTTCAAAAGAAAAAGATCCATTAAAGTGAAAAAGAAACGAAACTGCAGCCTTTCCTTTGGCTAAATTACAGCAGTTTGACTCTTACTTGTGAATTTTTCTTGCCACTGAGTCATTGCATATAGAATTAAGAAACTTTAATTCCTTTAGAGGCTTGTTATATTAGAAAAATTGTTCCAAAGAAAGCAGCAATCATGACATAGGCACATCTGGCTCCTGCAAATTATTCTTTATTAAGCTTTCATTTAATTACATGTGCTGAAAGGTCTGTTTTTGATTACTGTAATTTTTTTTATTTGTCCATCTGAATGATCGTAATGCTGGAAATTATATACAAATCACCTGTTTTTTCTCTTCTACTAATATGGCTAAGTTTGAGCTCTTTTTTTCTGTAGATGATGAACTAGGAAGCTTTCTATTGTGATAGAAATCTGACCATCAAGGTATTGGCTTAATCTTGATTATAAGAAGAAAAGAAAATATTTGAATGATGTTTTTAGGCACCAACAGTGTTAAGACTGTGATATCTGACTATGGGTTAACCATGGCAAATTAACACATTCATTTATTACCACACAAGTCCTAGTACAGGGACAGTTAAGGATTAGATGTAGCAGCCTTTGAGTACAAGTAGAAAGAGAGCTGGTAAAAGTTTGGGGGCATGAGAAATTAATATTTGAGTTATAACTGCTATCAGAAAAAAAGGGTGATATGCCATTGAAGGCAGAGATAAGAGGTGAATAGTCGACAAAATGACTGATTGAAATCAATAAAGATGGCCCCTCAGCGTGATGCGTGGTAAGGCTACTGATTCCCCCCACCATTCATTAGCAGCATGCAGCCCAAGCAAGGGACTGAAAAGTTGATCTCTTGAGAAGCTGTATTCATAGGTTTTTTTTATTTTGGAACATCAGTCCTAATAATAATGACATTTGAATGAATCTTCAAGCCGAGATGAGAATTTGAGGGTATCCATTTAAGAACAAATAAAATGGCCCAGTGTAAGAGAAACAATATGTGAGTGTTGACACTTTGGATTCTCTAGGGAAAAAAGTCTACTTTCGACATCATAATTTTATAATGAAGCCTGTCATTCACTAATTCTCCCTCTACAGTTAGACTTCCCAGTCAGCTTCTGGTGATGTCACTTACGTTCGTCAATGATCACCAGAGACTTTAGAAATCCTTCAGTGAGAAAGAGTTCAAGGGCTGGAGAGATGGCTCATTCACTAAGGGCTAGGCTCACAACCAAAAACTATAAGAGAAAGAGCTCAAAAGATTAAAAGAAAAGAGAGAGAGAACAGTGCAGAGATCAGAAAATAAACACAAATCCAAAACCATCATTATTATTACTCAACAGAACAGTGAGCAAGATGCTATAAAGAGAAGCAGTCAGAGAACAAAAGTGGAAAGTCCATAGAAGTCTTAGAATAAGTTGATGGAAATAATCTGTCATAGAGTAGAATAAAACATTTAAGAGTGTGGGATAGAAGGAAAAACTAAAACCAAAGGGTTCATGAGGATGTCAAACATTTATTAGTGTGAGTTGATGGGGAGCCTCAGAGTGCTTCCTAGAGTTGAAGCACATGGTTTTATGCATTGGAAGAGCTAGGCTCCAGACCAGTGAGTTCAAAGTCAACAGGCAGACAGCCCTCAGGAGGCAATCTCTGCACTTAGTATACAGGAAAGAAGGCAATGCTGTCTCAAGTGAAAACTGATTTCATGCAAAGAATCTGAGATCAGAATGACATCAGACTTTCTTGGCAATAAGAGTAAAAGGACAGTAAGTCATTGTCCTTGGAATTCTGGGAATCATTTTAAACTTAGAATTCTGTATCAAGGGAATATAATAATAATAAGTTTCCTGAGTCATTTGTTCCTAAAATACTAACCTCACGGGCACTTTTCTCAGGTATCTCCTGGAGGGTATATACTATCAAAAATATGACAATTAACTAAGAAACAGGAAGCCATAGCTGACAGAAAATGGAATCAAACATAGGAGAGACAAAGGGGAATTCTGTGTAACACTGGTCTAATGAAAAGCTGGAGCAAAAGTGTAGAGAATTCTAGAAGGCATCTCTAAGAGGTGGGAAATGTATACAGAGATTAGCCATATATTCAACTGCATTGGATTGAGTTTTCTTGGTCTTTGGGAGAGTCTGGATTCCCAGTGATCGTTATAGAAACCAGAAAGAGATAAATGAGAGATAAAATGATAAACAATACAAATATTACATCTAACAAAGAGCTAAAGAGAAGAGTTACTGCTGAATTTAATCCACATAATCCCAACTACTTGGGAGGCTGAGACAGGCAGGTCCCAAGTTCAAGGTATGTCTGACTTTCAGAGTGAGTTCAAGTCTAGCCTGGACAGCTTTGTGATGATAGCCTGTCTCAAAATAAAATATTAAAAGAAGTCTGGGGATATGGCTAAGTGGTATTACCTAGCAAGCCTGAGGACCTAACTTCAATCCTAGTACCAGAGAAAGGGGGCTAGAAGAGGAGAATGAAATATAGCTCTTGGCATAGTTCAGCTACGAATAGCGCCGAAGTAGAATGAACAGTAAGACTATCTTAGAATCTCTGACATTAACACTAAGCAATTAGAGGGATACATGAAGGCATATATAGCTGGCGATGTAGAAAGCTAAGCTTTCATCCGCTGTGAGGTCAGCGAATAAGGACAGAATAGCATATAAACATATACAAATGAAGTGATAAGTAAGAAAAGTCAACCAAGTTGAGAGGGAACAGTCTCCTCCAAGTAGGAGTGAGGTGGGGAGGGCAGTGTCGGGAGGCCAAGGTGATCAGGTATGGTTGTAGAGGCTTTACTTTATTTAAGGTGACCATGTTGTGATTTTCTTTTTATTTAAAGGCCTTAAAGTAATATTGAATTTATTAAATCATGAATAACATTATTTTGATAAAAGTTAAAATTATCTAATAGTGATATTGGCCCATATTTCAATCTTGAGTCTACATTCATTTAATTCAATATACTTACTGTTGATCATTTGAAGATGAATAGTATCAGATTGTCTGTTTCCTTTGTCTCCAGAAGAGGAGCACTTGGAAGAGGGAGCAGAGGGTGAATAAGACAGCAAGATAGCAAATACTTAGAAAGGACCCAAGAGACAGCAGCTGAAACAGAGGGAGATAAGCCTAGAGTCCCAAGCCAAAGGAGAACTTGGGGGGACACCAGCTGAGCTGTTCTAGCCCTAAAGGGGACACTAGGTTATCTCGTTCAGCACTGGGGCCAGGAAAAGAAGCTTGATTTTTTTTGGTCCTATGGCTTCCAATCTGGCTATACCCTGTCAGTGGTCGCTAAATACTGCCAAGAGAGAAGACTGAAAGGGAAGTGGATGCTGGTAGACTCTAGGGGCTTAGGGGCAGCACCGATCTTCAAAGATCTGCATCCCCAGAGAAGTATGGGAAGATCAAGGACACTCAGGGAATTTCGGTTTGGTTTCTTAGTTCACAAGTGGACATGCCAGATATTAAAGAGCATTCATTATATAGTGATTTCAGGCTCTTAGAAGGGATCTCAGAGACTGCTGTGCCAAACTCCTTTTAGTACAATTGAAGGAACTGAGTTCTCGAGAGACTAGTCTTGTCCCAGCCCATGGTGTCATTGCTGGAACACTTACAGTACCACGTTTCTCATTCTAGTCCTCTTCCTTTCTGAGTTACTTGATTTTTCTTATTTTCCTCCTTTAAAAAAGTGAGAGAGGAATTGCAGGGTTGCGAGAGATGCTATCTGGCAGCAAGGTAAGTTTTCCTGAGCCTGTCCCAGCCGCGTTTAATGAGACCGATGGTCGCCTTCTCTGTTTTGCAGCAGCTCTATGCCGCTCAGCTGGCCAGCATGCAGGTGTCACCTGGAGCAAAGATGCCATCAACTCCACAGCCACCAAACACAGCAGGGGCGGTCTCACCTACTGGGATGAAAAATGAAAAGAGAGGGACCAGCCCTGTAACTCAAGTTAAGGTACTTGCTTTGCAGGATTATGGAAATGGCTTGGAAAATAGCTTTGTAAGGAAGGTGGTGAAGCAGGCTATGCTGGGAGTAAGCAGCCCTCTTTATGGGGAACGCCGTGAGTGAGCACTGAGAAACAGGTGCTTGCCTTTTGATAACAATAGTGCTATATTGTGAGATCCTGCCCTAACTCCAAAAACCCACTCCTCAAAAATCTCTCCCGTCAGAGTCTGGATTTCATTTAGTGTTCACTGGCAGGAATGGCTGTGTTTTTATTGTCAGTCTTTGTCACAGACCTGCAACACTTATCCGCATTCCTTACACAGGTGGGGAACCCACTCAGCGTAGCAGAGTGTGACCTAGAATCCCTGTGTTCAGAGCGGATCAAAGGGGATCTAATACTGGACTTGGCATAGTTTTGTGGAGCTCTGTCCTTCAGAACTGGCTGCAAAGAGGTGCTGAGGAATATCAATGGCTGGTGGTGCTTTGGACCATGTCATTAGACAGGATAAATGGACTTTCACAGTTATGGGCAGAGTGTTGATACGTGATTTTCTTCACTGATTTTCAGTGTCCCCAAACTGGTCCCCTGGGGCGGGGGTACTTGGTGCCAAGGGCTATGATCAGACACTTCAAATCTGGTCCCTACACAGTACAAGTTGCTTGAGGGGATTGTTTCTGCTCCCTATATTGAATTAATAAATTCACACAGTTTAGAGAAGCAGTTGTTGTATGTGAATTGACTGTGAACTTGGAGAGGTGTGCTGAGTGTGACTGCATGGTTGTAATTTTGCAGAAGTACTGCATGTAGGGAGTTTGGGCAATTATTGAATCTTCACACAGCAAACCAATGAGAGCAACTGATATCACTACTGGGCGCTCCACAGTCACTCAAGCTGGTTTATTTTAGTAAATCTCAGAGAGCAATATTGAGATTTCAGAAAGTCTGCAAAAATGATGGACGCCAAGTATTGAAGACTAAAAACATGAGCATCCTCCAGGCGACCTGTCTGTGCTCCATTCACAAATATGAACTTAATGATTCTCTAGAGAAACAGGGTGAAATTACACTTAATTGTTAGAAATCCTGAGCTGTCACAATTAACACAGGAATTGTAAGTTTGTAGAAATAGACTGTTTTATATCCCAAAAGCTTATTTGTGAGTCTGAATCAGCACAGCAAGCAGCCCAACCCAAGGACTAAGTCTCTTCATAGTTGTCAGAGAAGGAGTATGTGAAACGCCAGCAACTTGGGCTATTTGGGTATTAAATATTTTAACATGAAAAAGTCATTTTGTAATTTAAGTTGGCCAACTGGAACGGGACCAAACCGAGCCTTTACTGGATGAGTAAATGTTCCCTGGCTAAAGTCAAGTTTCTATCTGCTTTACCATTCCAACTCTGCGGGCCAACAGATTTTATTACTCACTTGACCACATGCAAATGCTTAGGCATGAGAGTTCTGTATGGTTTGACTTGACAGTATTTTATGTTAGTAACAAAGGACCCATTTCTTATAATTCTTAGATCATATATTATGTATGTGAGCAGAAATGTATAAACCAAGACATAAAGTGAGCATTTAAATTGAATATTCCTATTACTGAAGAACTTCTGAAAGTAAACTCAGTCTACTAACTGAAGAGATTTCTTCACTCAGGTTCGTCGTGGTCCTCACTATAGCCGTTTTCCCTCTATAGAGTATGGTCACACATTGTATAGTGAAATATGGCAGGGCAATGTTTGCTGAAGGGAATGAGATAAACACAGGGTTTCATCTGTTAAAAGTCTGTCACTGTAATCTGGGAGTTGATAATATTATGGGCCTTACATGAGGCCATATGTTCTCTATCATGTAATGAGCATTCTATAAATGGTGGTGGTAGTGGGGATCCTCACAGTGGTCATGAAGGAGCAGAAGTAGTTTCGTTGTGGGGATGGAAGTGTCTGGTTACATAGTTCCACAATGAGAAAGGTTCAGAATTATTGAGCTGGACAGTGAGTATCACCCATCAGCTCTACATACAGCAAAAACTTCTCAACCTGGCAAGGCATACTCTGTCCCTGCAGCCTCTCCCCTGACAAGCGATTTGTGTTATCTTAGACTGGGTGGAGGGGCATATAATTAACCCTGTCAAAAATGTCTCAAAATTTCATGATCCTTACATAGAAAGAACAAAAATGTTTTCTCAGATTATATATTTTAGACAGGTGACATGGTCTTTGTCAATATTTTCCAGCCTTTAGTAGAGTGATTTGACTGCATCTTAGCCACCTCTGTTTTTTTTTTTTTTTTTTTTCTTATCTGCTGGCTCTATCATCCGGGTCCGTTTTGAGGTTGGATTTTTCTCTTCTTTTTCCTATTTTCATGTTTCTGTGTAAGCCCATCATTATTAAATAGATAAACACATTTTGAATTCCACAGTGTTGACTGTTAAAGTGTTTGCATCTCTTTAAATATCAGAAATCTATTCCGAGACACAGAACCCCTGGATCCTCTTTGGGTATACTTTTCATATTTGTTAGTCAGGTTCAAAACAACCAAGAATCTCAAGGTAGTGTATCCCCATGATGAGGCAGAACTTCCTGAACCTAATTTACTTAATACACTGTATGTGCATCAAGGGACCGTTGCCCTGTGTTCTTGGGAGAATAAGCCATTCTCAGTCCTTCATGAATGTGCAGTCATTTGCCTACTCTCTTCTTCACTCTCCCCAGACTCAAGTTGCCTCCTCAAATGCATTTACTGATCAGCACTCAACTAAACCTGCAGCTCCGTAGCATTCTCTCTCTTTCTCTGCAGATCTGACCTTGCTGGTCCCCTACCTCAAAAGTTCTGTCTACATTAAAATTTATAACCTCTGAACTTTCAACTCAGGGAGGCTGCCATAGTAAAGTGGACCAGTCCTGAATTCACTTATTTCAGAAATTGCTGTCCCAGGATCTTAGCATCGATGTCTGAAGAGCACTGCCTAATAATCAGATCCTGTCTGGAGGGTGGGTCTTTAACCTCAAAAGTAAACCCAACCCTGTCCCTCTATCATGATTATAAAAGAGAGCATTTGACATTAATTGTGAGTTATAAATAATAAGTTAGAGATATTAAAACTGAAAAGGTGTTATAAACTCCATATTTTCAAGAAAATTGAAGAAAACATCAATATAGTAAGACAAGGCACAGAAAATGTAACTAATTGCCTACAAGTGGTAAGTGCAGCACTTTAGACGGAATTAGTGGCAGTTCCTACACCTGTACGGAAAAAAAAGCCATGAGAGTGATGTCACAGGACAGAACTCTGCAAAATGAAACACAGGAGAGACAGTCCCGGAATGGCAAAGGGTTCGTCTAGCACGTGCAACTAGAGGAAAGAATTGGGTTTATGTTTGAAGAAATAATAACTGAACATTTCTTTAACTTGACAAAAACTCTAAACTCAGACATTTTAGAAGTTTAGCAAACCCCAAATGAAGGCAGTGTAGAGAATATGAACCAAACAGCATATAAAGCGCTCTGATTTCAATATGCACGAAGGAAGAGACTAGTTTAAATATCCTTTGAATTAAGGGCAAAAAGAAGCAATTTAGTTTAGTACATCAAATAATTTTGACATTCATAGTGGATGTAATCTTGTTTCCCCAGAACATGTCCTATTCTAAATATAAAGTGCATTGCAACACAGATGGGACAGAGTGCTTGTTTCATATTAATGCCAAACAAACCAAAACCAACAACAACAACATAGACCATTACTACATTAACATACAAATGATTTTTCCTCTGCTCATTTGGCAGAAAGGGAGGTGGAGATTTGTAGTCCAATAAATTAGACTCAAATTCTTTCCTTCCTAGATGGCCTTGGGAAGATGCTTTTCATTGTTTTGATTTTCACCTCCCTGTTTGTAAAGTCTGAGTAGTCTAGCCCATCCTCCTAGTGGCATCAGTGGCTGAGTGGGCTAATGCCCTGCAGGTGCCTGGTGTAATGCTTGGTGCATGGTCACCTCTGTGCATGTCCCTGATCTCTGTCCCTGTTCTCCCTCTTGCCCTTCCTCCTCCACTGCTGTTTTCTGGCACGTTTGTTGATTGGCATCCCATAGTATATGGCCATCTTTTTATAGATGGAGAAATAAAGCCTCAGTGAGGTCACATGCTAACCACGGGAGAGAATGTTCTGTTACCAGACTCCGTCGTGTATTTTCAATAATGTCATTGAAAGCAGGTTCTCTCTGCCCTTCCAGTGGCAAAACAGAATCTGACATTTGCTGATGATTTTGCTTCAGAATGCAATAATGTAGATCTTAACATTGAACCTTTAAATCACATACTCATATCCATATTTCTGAAATGATTATTATCTGCAGCTCTTTGATGGTAGAATAAATGAGACAAAATGAAAACAAGTTGCTTAACTTTCAAGTCACTGGCTATCCTAGAGTTCCAAGCCAGAGATGGAAATACTGGGTTCAGTGTGGAGGGATATGGTCTTAAAATAGACATTCCATAAATATATGTAGCAAAGATTGTAACAAGACATCACTTTAAACATGAAAAATAAATTGCATATAGCATAGCATGTAAAACATAATTATAATGTATGCTTGCTCTTCACAAAAATTAATTTTAAACATGAATAGAGACCAGAATATAAACCACAAGAGCACCCACACCCAGAAAGCCACATAGAAGCCTGTGGTGTGGCATGGGACTCTGAGGGCAGGGGCCCTGGAGAGCAAAAGAAGACTCTCCATGTTTCCATTCTAAAGTACTTGCAATTGTTTGATTTAAAATATATATTAAAAAATTAGCTGCAGGGACTATTTATAGTCACAGGAACTTTTCTGAGAGACGAACACAAAAGCACTACAGAGCTACTGAAATTTTAAATAATTCTTTGTAAATGCCCTAGGTTAATTTAGATCCCTGAAAACACATTAGGAAATTAAGCTGTAATGTGAGCTAATTCAGATTTTAATTTGGCAAAAAGAATGATCCAACTACACAGTTAATGTAAATAGAAGCATAACACAGGGAAATTAATGAGGTTCCTTCCGATGAATCTTCAAGGAGGTAGATAATTAGCTTCTTTTGTTATTGTTGTAGGAGAAAGTGGCATTGTCTCGGAGGTGTAAAATAACTGTGGCTTACTAAGTGATAATGTGCTTCATTTGTCTTTTTTAAAATAATTATTTATGTTAAACTCTTGTAGGATGAAACAACAGCCCAGCCGCTGAATCTCTCCTCGCGGCCTAAGACAGCAGAGCCTGTGAAGTCCCCAACATCTCCCACCCAGAGCCTCTTCCCAGCCAGCAAAACCAGCCCTGTCAACCTTCCGAACAAGAGCAGCGTCCCCAGCCCCATTGGAGGGAGCCTGGGGAGAGGATCCTCTCTAGGTAAATGGGAAAGTCCACTTCAGGAAGGAACCGTGACAGAGAAAAGGACACTGGCCAGGATGGCTTGCCCTTGGGCCCTGTGTGCTCTTTGGGAAGGATAGTGATATTCTTTCCACCGAACCAGAAGCAAACTTGGTATCTTGGGTGACTAGAACTTTTGAAAAATATCTCAAATCCTGCTAGGATCCTTCTTTTATTTATTTATTTTTTTTTTGAGATGATTGGATCCTGGCCATCAGACATGTAAGGAGGTCTTAATTTCGTCAAGATTTTGCCTAAAAGTAATTCTGTAAGGACATCAAGAACTGGCTTCATTCAGCAAGCCATGTCATAAGGTGCCGTTTCCTTCCTGCTTTTCCAAGGCTCTCTAGAGGTTTTCACACTGCTGTTTGAAAGTGTGGAGCAAAAGCATGGGTTTTACAACAGGACATGCCTGAACCAAAAACCTTCACTGGCTGGTGTTGTGGCTTTGGACTGTAATATTTCCTAAACCCTACATGGAGAATAGTTCTGTGTAGGCCAGAAGAGGATAGTCTGCCTGACAAGGGTCTGGCAGTGTCCAGCACATCGGAGTTCTGTTTTGAAAGACTAGGATAGGTGAATCCCACCACATTCATGTTCTTGGGTAGAATGAAGCAATACACAAGAAAACATTTGTCAGCAGGAACAAACCAAATGCATTAAGGATATCGTTACTGGACTCCTCTTGTCTCTTGCTTTCCAAATAAAGACAGTGAAATTCAAAGAGGTTGGGAATTCTACCTGCCATTTCTTTACCACGTTCCCTTCCTTGTGTTATCTAATCGTGGAGTCTCTTGTTTATTTTAATTGGATAAGGTGATGTGTGGGTAGACCCACTACAATTTTTTTTTTTAGCTAGTCTTTCCACTTTATTTAATTTCACTTGACTTTACAAGTTTGGCAATTTAGTTCTTACTGGTAGAATGCCTGAGCTCCAGACCTGTGCTGTGAAATAGCAGAACCAGGACAGATACCCAGATCCTGCTGCTCTCGGGCAGCTCCCAGGTAGAGGGGTGCTTGATTGGGCTGAGGGTGAGAAGCAGTGCCTTCTCCGATACTTGGGGCGTTAGGATAGGATGTGAGCAACAGCCTGTTCTGACTTCCAGTCAGGCTTGTCTCATAGGAGCCCCAGCTTTTCACTCCCTGCCAGGGGTGCTCAGTGAGAAGAGGAGAGGTGCATGCCTGGACCATTGCTGTGGACTGCTTCTTTTGGCTGGCGTCTTGGGAGTAGGGAGATGAGAACAAAGAAAGTCAACAGAGGAAAACTAGCCTTCTCTTGAAGTGGCCCTTGTGCGGTGCACTTCCACATCCTGTCTGGAAAGCGCTTGTTCCTGGGCTGCTCATCTGCAGGGAGGGAAGGGGATGGTTTGCCACAGACCCTGCTGCTACGAGCAGCAGAGCAGCCATCTTAGGTCAGAGCCTGGGTGGGGGGGTGGGCAGCAGAGTGAAAGTGGCTGCGGCTAGGGTAGTCTCTGCACAGAACATTGCATGAAGGAGGCGCTTTTGTCCGAAAAACTTCAAAAGAGAAAAAGCTTAATATCCTATAAAGGAACTGACTTTTAAAAACATTTTCATAGACAGTTTCTGGAACTTCACAACTCACGTAGATATGCACATGTGTTGTGCATACATGGTGTGCGGCATGAGCTTGATTGTAGTCTAGTTTCCCTGTTCCTCTGTGTGAGGTGTCTGCATATATGCATACATGCCTGTCACACACGTGTGTGAGGAAATACAAAGGACCTTACACAAGTAGATAATGTCAAATACACAACAGCTGAAATCTAACAGTAATCAAATAATTGCCCTCTTTTGTCTAAAAATGGAAAAACTGATTCAAAGTATTCAATTAAGCTGAGTAAAGCGCAAGGCATACAGAAAAATTAGTTTCTATTCCTTTTTTCCCCTCTGGGTTACATGGAATATAATGGCAGAAAATGTTTATTCTTAGTTGATTTGAGGATTTGTGCTCATGTGAAAGCCATTGCCACACATACTGCTTCACTGTATGTCAGGACTGGGGGTGGGAGGAGGGGCTGGGAGCAGTGGGTGTCCGAGCTAGGGATGGGGCAGCCTTGCCATCCTCTTGGTAAATAACCGAGGCAGCGTGATAAGAAGAATGCTTCATTAACCAGTCAGCTCTGGGAGAAAGGAGCACGTGGTGTGTTCCTTCCCCCGCCTTGCTTCTGCGATGGACACAAAACACACACATACAGATGTCACCATAGTGCCCGTGTACCCTCACAGGTCTCCTCCTGTTAGGTCTCAAACTGCTCCCCTACACATAACACATCAAATACAAGAGTATCTGGACAGAAATCCCAGCCACCTCTCTGTTTTCTCCACTCCTTGTTCCTCCCCCACCGATCAGGAAAGATTGTACACAAAGCATAAACACATTGAGATCTAGGAAGGGGATGTAGGAGCATTGATAAGTGGAGGCACAAGTGGCAAATGCTTCCCCTGTGCATACAAGATTAGAACTTAGGACCAATCATCTATGAGAGGGTGTGGGACAGCCTTCCAGCCTGGAGTGCCAGGGTACCTCCATGGCCTAGCTGTACCCTGAGCCAATACAGCTTGTTTCACTAGGCTTTCTGTGCTCTCACTAGCGTTGTAGTTTTCTTAAGAACAAATGTGCCCCCTCCTTGTTCAGAGAATACAGTGTTCCCCTGGGGAGTGGGTCACAGTCAGCACTCGAGGGACTGTCCCCACACGCCTCTAATAACGCACCCTATGTATGCAGATATCCTGTCCAGTCTCAACTCTCCTGCCCTGTTTGGGGACCAGGACACAGTGATGAAAGCCATCCAGGAGGCTCGGAAGATGCGAGAGCAGATCCAGCGGGAGCAGCAACAGCAGCCACACGGGGTCGATGGGAAACTGTCCTCCATGAACAACATGGGGCTGAGCAACTGCAGGAATGAGAAGGTAACCCTGAATCTCTTCCCACTCCACAGTAGGCCCATGGGTTCACTCTCATCTCTTTTTAGGCTCCCGGCTCCCCGCCTCTTACCAATGATCTGGGTTTCCAGCTTGTGGGCCGCCTTGTGATTTACTTAGATCTGCCCTGTGTCACATACATTACTGCTGGTTGGCCCTTAGGTTACCTCCCAGGTACTCAACCTACCTGCCTGTTGGTGTCTCTCTGTCCCATTCTGCACTATTTAGGAACTTTCTTACAAAGATTGTAAATTGTCTAGTTGGAGCGAGAATAGAATGTAACAGTATTTAAAAGGATACACACATAAGCTCACAGTAACGGTTAAGTGAATTGTGGCTCACCGTTAAATTTAATGCTATGCTTCCTATCCAAAAGTAAAAAACAAAACAAGCAAATTTCAAACTGCATTTGATTTTCATCATTTTGATTCAGCAAAAAATTTATCGGGTGCTTGTTCTGGGGTAGACACATACAGAAATAAGGGAGTCTGGAGTGAATGCCGGAACTAAACTGCATACACACTAGTAGGGGACAGAGACTGTGGAGAAGGCTGTGTCAGTACATGACTGGGAACCAAGGGGAAATAAAAGCAAGTTAAAGGGAAGAAACCAGCTTAGGGTGGTTATTTTAGAAGTGGCAATACGGACTGTCTGGGGATATGACTCAGGATAGAGCCCTGAATGAAGTTGTGGTGTGACTGCAGGAGGATCAGAGTGGAAGGCACCCCAGACAGGTGGAGCTATGCAAGCACGGGCCAGTGTGGCCAGAATGTCACAGGAAAGGGGATAGCTGAGAACATGAGGTAGAAGTCACAGCCTGGGCAAAGCACATTCGACCTGGTGGACTCTGAGAAGCCTCTTCATTTCCTCCCACACTGGACCAGTGTGTGAATGAGATTTGATTGACAAACAGAAAGACCATTTGGGAAAGGGGGACTGGGAAGAGTGCACCCGGCAGGACAGCTCATTCAATCCTTTTATACACAAATACTTGCCCAACACTAAACTGTGAAAAAATGCTTATTTATTTACTTTTAAATATGGGGCTATTGGAGAGGGACAGATGAATATTGTAATAGACAATAGTAATAGTTGTTAAGAAAATGTTAAAAGCACTTAGATGTGTTTATTCAGTGAACTAAAGCTGCAGGCTGCTGGGCTCAGGCCAGGAGTCTCCCCTTTGTTTCAGTGCTGGCTAACTGTAGTGAGGACACAGCGGCAGAGTATGCTCAGTAAGATTAAAGCTTGTGGTTTCCGCAGTTCCCCGCAGGACTTTTCTATTTGCTCTTGAAGAAGTTGGGAGGTGTGCAGTGCTGTTTGTGTTCCTGTGTGGCATGACCGGCTGGAAGCACAGGTGTGATCCTTTCCTAAGTGACTACACACTGGCTTGAGTAGGGAAGCAGGGACTTAGGCTGTGCGGCTCTGGAGGCCAGTCTGCAGGCAAGGCGTTACAGCCGTTCTCTCTGCAGCTCTCTAGGAGGGCCAGCCCTCCTCTTCCTGCCTTCTAATTGTTATAAGAACCCGGGCTTACTTATGCCTTCTCCAGATTTCCTCTTGTCTTTCCTACTTGCCTTCTGTCTGTGTGTTTGCTACCTAACCCTTCTAATCTGTTGTGACCTTACTCTAATTTGATGACATCTATAAAACTATTTCAAAACAAGGTCACTTTCACAATTGCATAAAGTTAAGGCTTTACTGTTAAGGAGACAATGTGACCCATTATAAGGCGTGCACAAGCATAGCTCATTCCCAGGCTTTTGACCGTACTGCTGTACTCTTGGGCCATATTAGGAGACTAAGGGTGCAGAGTAGGATGGGTAGTATGGGTAGTATAAGTCCAATACTTATATGGCCAGAAAGAATTGTCCTCCCAAAGCCAAGTAAAGACGTGATTTTCCCTCTATTCCCCTGTCCTATGACTGCCATTAGCATCCTACAGGATGTGGAACATCATATATAAACTTAGGTGCACACACATACCTATAGGATAATAAATAAAAAATTAATGTCTTGTACTATATGTAGTTATTTACTATTATCATTTGGAGCTAAAGGTCAAAAATGGACACTGTACACTTCAAAATCCAGAGATTAATTTCTATTTCCCATTAACTTCTCAATTCATTTGTAAGGAAGGAAGAAATCTGAAGCTAAAAATGAAAAAAAAAACCAACACTTTATTTTTCCATGGAAGGCATGAGAGAAAAAGTGAGAAATAAGGTTAACTTTGAACACATTAGTGAATTATAACCTAACCTATAACATGCTGAAGAGAACTGAGTCCCTGAAGGTTGGCTCCAAAGTGGCTTCTACAGAACGGGAAGCTGTGGTTTCCTAGCTGAGGAGTCACTGTGTCAGTAGACACATTTCCTGGGGTTGGATTTGGGGCACGGAAGAGCCCATGCTCTTTTGGAATGCTCTATGTGTTTTTCAGCTCTTCTCATAGGATCTCAAGCCTCCTGAACAAGAGCGCTGCTTGAGGTGATTGGTGTGGGTGTGTGGGCCTTATTGGAAGATCTCTGTATTTGCCACGCTTGCTGTGCTAGCTGCAGTTAGAGGAATGTATCAAGAGCAGTACTTCAGAGTCCTGTGAGGGAGGTAGCTTCAGCTCTTACCATTCAGATCTCCATCCTAAAGTTGTGACTTTCCTTCCTTAAGAACACCGCCGTTTCTTCTCACTTTTTCTTCCAAGTCAAAGGTTAAGTATATAATATGCAGTAAGACTAGGAAGTTGATTGGGACAAATCCAGTTTGCTATCTGGCTTCAAAATTGTCCAGCTTTGAATTACTAGCCCAGTTCTCCTTAACTATAAAGACATGTAACTGTAAATTAGACATGGAAATTTGTTCCTTGGACCCCATGTCACAGTTTTAGGTAAGTTTCATGGCATCGCTGTCACGGACTTTATCATTTATTGAGCACACTTCTCTCTTTTACTTAAACCTTCTTTACATAAGAGCATAGCACACACTGGGTTCCCTGGGAAGCGGGCTACTTGCTGGATGTTGGTGGCAGATGTGTGTATGTGGGTACTCTCCAAAACGGGCATCTGGAGAAGGGACAGGGACAAAGCAGGACTGGGTGAGGAAATGGCTGCACTGTGCCTCCGCCAGCAACTCCTTCACAAGCTTCAGGACCCCAGAGTTAGTGAGAATTTCTCCAAATTTCAAGAGGGAAATTAGTTTTTTTTATACCTGTGCCAATCAGTCCTTGGATAAAAAAATGCTACCCTGAAAAGAGGACTTGATCTTGTTTGAGGTGACTGTCTTTAGCTGAAGCAAGGCCAAATAGGAGAGAGAGAGAGACCCTTCCAGTGCTGGAGGGGATGGGGCACCACATCCCAGCGTCAACCCTCGTCTGTTACATTCATCATACTAGGTGTGAGTAAACAGACTCTATATATATAGCCACTGTGGGCTAGTGAGCAGGCCCAGAAACAGGAAAGCTGCATTTTTATCACACACACAGGCTCATGTGTGTGTCCATATGAATATATATTTACCCATGATCTGTTTCACTTTATTGAGCAAATCTTTCTTTTGCCACTTTAGTATGAAACATCACTGACTTGATGGGCCAGAACGACACCAGTGGAGTTGCTCTGGGTGGCTGTTGCAGGGTGTGCAGGGTCTGCTAAATACTTAGATTGTGGGGACAATAGACTGTGACAGCACCTCAGGGTCTGTCATCTGTGCCATCATCTCCATGAGCCTCTGCACACACACTGTGAGTGTCCTGCCAGCAGAAGGCTGAGTCTCATCCGTCAGTTAGCTTTTCCCACCAAGAACACCAGCCGGCCCCATCTGTGCTGGAGCAGCAGTGCGATTAGATCATATGATCATATTATGGTGAATTCCTTACTACATTTTAGTGTTCTGACAATTCTAAGTATTTTTGTCACAGCAATCTACTGCAGAATTTTAGTCACACTACTTATAAATGTTATGGGGCTAAGCTCAGGGCATCTGACTAAGAGAGAGGTGAGGCAGGGTAGCCTTCTTCATGAAAGGTCTGTGGGATGTTTGATGTGTGTGTGTGTGTGTGTGTGTGTGTGTGTGTGTGTGTGTGTGTGTAGTCAGTGGTTGGATACAAAATTCTCTTGTGTAGGCATCATGTTGGGTCACAGACCTCAGAAGTGGGCAGAATGTGTAGGCATACAGATGTGACCTGGGCCATCACTTCCTCTGGGAATGACTTGAGAAAGATCCTGACCCTCAGGAGACATCCAAATGAGCACAGTGGCAAAGGACCACATTTACCTGTGTCTGAAGTATGGTGGCTGCAACTGGAGCTGCAGTGTGGGCAGGTGGAGCTTACGGCTAGAGAGCTTGCTCTGCCAGTTCACAGTGCAGGGTCTGCCAAAATCAGAGCACACCAGACCATTCAGCCACCGCGACCAAAACACAAAGGGATTGGAGGCAGCATTCCATCTCTCTGGCTCCATGACTACTGGTGACAGAGGAGAAATGGGCCCCGTGAAAGGAAGGAGCTTACTGACCGTCAGCGACTTGGAGCAGAAACAGAGTTAAGTCTTGGTGACCTCATCCAGGTTACTCTTTCCACAGAGAGAACAGTACCAGGTTTAGTTAGCAACTGTCTATGACAGTTTAAGCCTTGGGCATAGGAAACAACTTCTTCCCTGACCGTCTCAAACCTTTGATGGAATAAGGCAAAGCTGTATATAGTGCAGAAACCATGAACTTCCTGCTTTCCGTACAGATGCTGCTTTCTGTCTCCACGGTGCCTTGGTCCTGTTAATCTGGATTCATAACAGAAGGTTGAGTGGTGCAGACACAGAAACAGAAGTGGCTAGGTGAGGAGCAGAACAGAATTCGAGGCCACAAATAGATGAGCGAGAGCCTGGCTCTTGGTATGGACTCACCATGGGTCTCAGTTCTGTCTGTGGTGTTTTCTGTCTGTCTTACCTAAGTATGTCACCTTACTTTTGTGAGTTTCAATGATCAGGGCTATGAGATGAAGGTGGGAC